AACTTCTCAAATCACTTTCCAAAAAGTTAAAAAACTTGGTAGAAAACAAAAAGCCAAAAGCTAGCTTTTTACCAACTTACTAAATCCCTTTGTCTTTGCATTTTTCTAATAGAAAACGATAGATATATTTTGATTCTCGAAAAAAATAAACAAAAAATTTATTTGGTTCTAATTTTCTGAATTTAATTTTCTAAAAATTAATTTTTTTTAATTTTTTTTTTGTATTTTGTGTTTTTAGTAAATGTTTTTAATATTTTAACCAATTTTTTTTATTTTTTAGATACACTTAATATACATAAAATTAAAAAATATAATATTTGTGAAAAACAAAATTATAAAAAAAATACTAAATACCAAAATATAAAAAATAAAAAAAAATTCAGTATATTTTTGTATTTTTGTGTATTTTTAAATTTTTTAAAATATTGTTTTACAAATATTTTACTTTTTAGGTACATTTAGGTTAGGTGCATTTATAAAGTAAAAATTATGCTTAAAATATTTAAAAAAATTCACTAAAAATAAAAAAAATATAAAAGTAAAAAATTTAATTTTTAAATAATTAAATTCAGAAAAATTAAGTTAAATAATTGTTGGTCAAGTCAACTCTGTGTCACCAGTTACGTAGTATTAATTTGTATCCATATGCATGATGTAGAGTATAATATCTTCCCAAGCTTAAACAATTAATGCCAAGTCAAATACAACCCAAGTCAGAAATCGCTTCCTACTACATAAAAGCCTCCTCTTCAAATTTTGGAGTATATTAATAATTCTCTAATAAGTGATCATTAACATTAATTTACTTAAAACTGCATAAAAATATTTTGAGATTATACTTATCTTAATTTTTATTTTTTATTTTTGTGGACTATGGTTAATAGAAGAATTATAATTCACATAAGTCATTGTTCCATGACCACTTTGTTGACTTGATTGATGAATGAAAAGTTCCTTAAGTTTTCTAAACTAATTGAAGTTTTGTTTTGTTATGTTTTTTATTTTGGGCCGGGCTTCCCCTGATCCCAAATCAGATTAGAAGGTGTTGTTGGGCCTATGGGGGCCCATCACAGGACCCGTTTCAATAATCCAAATCATTCAATGTGTAGAACTCGTCGAGTACTATAAGTCTATAAAAAAAATCAAATTAATCGGCTATCGATAGTTATGTGATCAAATCCGTTTTGCATAAAAAAAAATGAACGGTGAAAAAATAAACGGTTGACAGAAAACTGATCCGTTGAGATAGCTATTGATACCTGATCAACGTGATTTTTAATAGATATGTAGTACTCGACGAGTTCTACACATTGAACGGTTCAGATTATTGAAATGGAACCCGTGATTGACCCTCACGGACCCAACAATACCCTCCAATCTTATCTGGGGACTAAAGGGATGCCAGTGCCTTTATTTTTATATTATTATTACTATTATTTTATTTGTAAGAAACTCAAATTGAATATTGTCTCCGATTTGTTAAAAAATTGACCTGCTCATTCTAAACTTGGATCAATTCTCCTCAAAAATTATCAAAGCTAATGATCAAAATAAGTCATGTGATGGTCCGACAAAAGAGGATTGCATTGATCTAGTTTTTGACAAATTGGAAACAAGCTAGAAAATTCAAAATGCTTGTTTAGCTAATTATTTTCGAAAATTGCATTTTGAAAAAATTTCAAAGGTCACTTTTCAAAAATATAAAAAAGTTGTTTTTGAAGTTTTTAAAAATTGCTTTTGCAAAAATAAATGAGAACTGTAGAAAAATGTTGAGTATTGGCTCTCCTTTTCTTTAGTTATTTTTGTTTTAAAAAATACGAAATGAAAAACAAAGTAAGCAAAGGTACAACCATTTATTTTCAGGTCTTTAACCCTATTAATATGGAACTCATTATTTGAGGGGTCCCTTAATTATTGTTGCTTATAGTAAGTTCATGGATGCATAATATCTATAACATTTATTCTTCTATTATTTAAAAATTTTAATTGAGATCTAGTAGTTATGTAAACATCTAAAATTTCAATATATCTTACAAATTGTTACGTTTCAAATGAAATTTGAATAATTTTTTTACTAGAATTAATTTCATTTTATGTATTATAATTATTTTGATTAAAAATCATATGAGATCCAGTCAATACCAATCTTAATAACATTTTGACAACTTTGTTGATAAACAAATTAAAAATCACTTGTTATCAATTTTATTTTTTTATTTTTAAAAGGCAAGGACCCACTCAACTTTGCACTAATTTTTATAACAACTTTCCAAATAATATAAGACTGATAATTTTTTTTGTTATTTTAATTTAAATTAATCGTTATTTTATATTGAAAAATACAAAATGAAAAACAAAGTACGCCAAGGTACAACATTTTATTTTATTTGGTGAGGCATTTATACAACCAAATTGACCTTACCCTTTCAGGTCTCTAACCGTATTAATGGAATTCCACCTGAGCGGTCCTTAATTTTTGCTGCTTGTAGCATAACATAAAAAGCTAGGGTCCAGAATTCACTCACAATGAGTCCGTGTAGTGGAGATTACATTAATAAATTATAAGATTTATAAGTGAAATGAATTTGAACAATTGATCTGAACCGTTAATATGTAGAGCTTGTTGAGTACTTCATGTCTGCAAAAAATCATGTTGATTGGATATCAGTAGCCACTTGATCGGAACACATTTTTGTTAACAATTTATTTTTAAAATCATATATGTCATTGACAAAAATATATTTTGATCAAGGGACTACAGATATTCGATCAAAATAATTTTTTTTCACACATAAAGTACTCGAAAAACTTTACACATTAAACGGTTTGGATCATTGAAGCGAGACCCTTAGTAAGTCCCACAAGCCCAACAATACGATTCAGTCCACACAGTGAACTAGAGAGAAGCCTTTCAATTCTTGATAAATTTTGAGTAAATAATTCTGGATTTATAGTCTTTTTTAGAGCAAAACAATATATAGAAATTTATGTGGGAGTATGTACCATATGCTCTCAGTTAATTATGATTAATTGTTTTGACAATATTTTTGTTATGACAAAAAAAAAGTTTTTAGTTATACGTTATATTGTGTTTATTTGCATCTCTTTTTTTAGTTATAACTTATAAAGAATTTGAGTATGACATTTGTGATAATCAATTATACAAATGTCATAACTTATACTATAACATGACCGTCTATGGAGAATCAAGATCTTTTGTTCCTTTTTATACTCCTTTCTTTGTTCACTTATATTTTATTGGTTTGTGCAATTGCCCATATCAGCAAATAGGGGTGTAAATTTGACGCGGCTTAGCCCACGTTGGGTCTCGCGGGCTTCTGCCAAAATTTGGGTCGGGCCAAGGACCAGAAAATTTGGCCCAAGCCCAAGCCTATGGGGTATTCAGTTCGGTAGACTTGGACGGGCTTGAACAATTTTTTTGTTTTTTATTTTTATTTTTTCTATCAAAATTTTATTATTTTCTACTAAAAAAGGCGTTAGGCCTCAGGCAGGCTTTGAGTGTCTTAAGCAGACTGGGCTTCAAAATGATGGCCTAGGCCCACGGGTTGGGCTTGGGCCCGAACCATAGGACGCCAGCGGGCTTCGGGACGCCTACGGGCCGGGAGTCATTTTTACACTCCTATCAACAAAAATGGTATTACAAACTTATAAAATTTAAGGAGACAGAGAAAGATGCATAAAAGGGAATAGATGATTTGGATTGCATTATATATATATATATATATATGTATAATATTTTTAATAGGAGAAAGATTTTGGAAGGTTGCTATGAGTAAATTACACTTTGTCCCTTTTATGTTTGAGCATTTTTTTAATGTGGCCCTTCAAGTTTGTTTTTTCCTACTTTTGCCCATTATATTTCAAATTATTCACAATTTACTTCTAAATCTTATTTTTGGTTCAAAATTAGACAAAAAAATATCATATTAACTATCACATAATTTTAAAAATATATTATTATATTGGAGTTTGAGTTTGTGTAAAATGTGTTAATAAAATATTTTTATGCCATATGATTTTCAATCTATCATTTTTTTATCTCATTTTGGACACAGGTTAAATTTTAGAGTAAATTGAGAAACATTTGAAACATGAAGAATCAAAGTAATAAAAAATAAACTTAAAAGACCAAAGTGAAAAAATGGATAAACATAAAGGGACAAAGTATAATTTACTCTTAAAAAATATGCAATAAGTATGATTTTAAAAATAAACTGTTATTTTTTTAAGATAATGTTATCCAATCTCATGAATTTGATATATTTTTTTTTATATGAATAAAATACTCGAAAAAAAATTAAAAGATAAAATGTTATTATCAAGGTAGACTTTGAATATATCTGCATCCCTTTAATTGGATCCTTTAATCCAATTTTTGAACTGGACAGAAGCTTCATCTAAGATTTTGGATAAATTACAAATATACTTCTGATGTTTATTTAAAGTATAGATTGTCTTCTATGATTTGACAAATTACAAATACCTCTTTATCATAATTTTTTATTTAATAGAATTAATTTAAAAAAAATGAAATTCATAATTGCTTTTCTATACAATAATAAAATTATCTAAATTAATTGAAACATATTTCTAATATCATTAAAAATTATTAATTGACTTCATAATTTATTAATAAAAAGACAATTTATTATGAAATTAGAAATCTCAAAAGTGAAATATAATTTCTAAAATAAAAAAAATAATTCATATTTTAATCGAATCAATTTACCTAATTTTCCATCAATCTTGAATACTCATTTACCTTTTTCTTCAACTTTTACTTTTATTTTTGTTATTTTTTATGTTCAGCTTAGCTTACTCGTTTTCCTTGTCATACTATTCAAATAACAATTTTACATTAAAATAAATAAATAAATAACATTGTGGGCACACACTTTTATTTATATATATTTCTATGTTCACACACTACATGTTGAATTCAAGAACCTTGGAGGAAACTCCCCTTTCCATCACCACATAATATAAATAAAGACCCTTATGTGCAGTATTATATATAAAGACATAAGAGAGGCCTCTGATCTTACAATCTCTTATCAAACAATCTGATCAATCTCTCACACCCTCTTTCACCTTCAATATACTTCACCCATCAAATTCAAACATGAAGCAACAAGGCAACTCCGTTTTCATTTTGGGGTCCATTCTCATTTTGCTTCTTTTCTGGCAAACAACATCAGTCAAAGCTCAAGAAGTTGGTAATGGCCTACACATATATATGTGCTTGATTGTTTTCAATTCATTTGATTTTTGTACATTAGCAATCTGTATTGTTGGTTTTGATGTATTCAATGTGTGAATTGAATGGTGCAGAGGATGAGAAAGAGTTTGATTATGCCAAAGGAAGCGAAAAGGGTCCGGAGCGATGGGGAGAGATAAAGGAAGAATGGGCAGCTTGTAAGCATGGAGAAATGCAGTCTCCAATCGATATGGTGAATAGGAGGGTGAAAATAATCAGAAAATCAAGGGAGTTAGTGAGTAATTACAAGCCTTCCAATGCAACTGTCAAGAACAGAGGCCATGATATATCGGTGAGGAAGAAATTACAAACCCCCCACCCCAACCATAGTTTTAAATATGAGCCCTCCAATGCAATTGATCTTCATTTGTTGACAGAAGACATGAATTCTTGTTTTTGTTACACGGGTTGTTTTTGTTACACGGGTTGTTACACGGGTTGTTGCTAGCAGTCACATTTTTTTATATTTATACTAAATTTCATGTCCATATATGTAGGTTCAATGGACTGTTGGTGAAGCTGGATCAATTAAGATCAATGGCACTGAGTACCAACTCCAACAAGGCCACTGGCACTCCCCTTCAGAGCACTCCATCAATGGCAGAAGGTCTCTCTCTTTCTCTCTCTCTCTCTCTCTCTCTCTCTCATAGTAGTATTTTAGTATGTATCAACAACTAGGGAAGGAAGGGTACAATTAATGTTTGTGAATAATAATAATAGGTATGCCATGGAACTGCACTTGGTACATGTAAGCCCACAAGAGAACGGAGAGGATAAGATTGCTGTCATTGGGGTCCTCTACAGGATTGGTCGACCTGACTCTTTTCTCTCTCAGGTAATCATCTTCATTATCAAACCTCACAAACATGGGCAGAGCATGATGTCAAATGACAAATCTTTTTTTCTTTTTCTTTTTTTTTTTCCCCTTAAACTTTTACTACTCGTCAAATATGAACTATGAAAATCTTGTAAGCTTGTCAGGGAAATCAATAATGACATTCACTAAACCTTGTCCTCATTTTGACCTGAATTAATTTCTATGTGACATTTTTTAGAAACATTGGTTAGATTTGGTCATGTTTCTTACACCACTTTACTTTGTGTTGATTATTTTATTTTATTTTTTTTTGTTTAAAAAATAGGACAAATTATACTGGTAGTTCCTATATTTTGTTTCTTACGTCATTTTGGTCTCTATACTTTCAATTGATTTAATTTTGATCCTTAATTTTAGATTTTGTCTTAATTTGATCCAATTGATAATGTCGTTAGTACTTTTGATAGAAAATTATCACTGAATTAGCTGAAGTTAACTCACTGACTTGAATAAATTTATAATTTATTTGAAGTTAACTCACAAATATCACTTGTGTCCATATTTGCTATTAAAAAAAATATACTAAGAGTTGTAATCAATTTAATCAAATTGAAATAAGTAATAAATTCAAGGTTAAAATCAAGCCATTTGAAATTACAATGACTACGGACATAATTTGCCCCAAAAAATGATGTATAATTTAGATTCTAAGTCTTATATAATTTTATTTCTTTTTTGTTTTTTTTGGTTTCTAATGGGTTGTGTTAACTTTGATTTTCAGTTGATGAGGAATATATCAGATATGATTGATAAGAAGGAAGAGAGACACTCTGGGGTGATTGATCCAAGAGAAATTAAAATGGGTGGCAAAAGATATTACAGATACATGGGATCACTCACTGTTCCTCCTTGCACTGAAGGTGTTGTTTGGACCATTAATAAAAAGGTAAGGCTTGTCATTAACCTTTAAAGTTCCTAACTAGCCATAGCTTTTACCTGGTCCTTTTCTCTTTCAAAGCCTGGACAATGACATCTTTGACCTAAATTTCAATTATTTTGAATTAGGTGATGACTGTTTCAAGAGAACAAGTGAAGTTACTCAGAGAGGCTGTTCATGATGTAAGTAGTTATAACTGTGTTATAGAAAATTTACACAAGTATGAAGAAAATAGAGAGCAAGGGAATTTTGTGTTGCATCCTCTCTTTCTATTTTACAAATTTTTGTGCAAGTAGACTCTTTTAAGAATTTTATTAACGAATGTTCTAAACAAACTTTGTAACATGTTTGAAATTGTTGTGCATTTTTTCATGATAGTGCGTGCTATAAAAATGTACAACCGTTTTAAATTTCATTAACAAAGACTTTTTGTGCGCTCGTTAACTAAACAATTTTTTCCCCAAAATATCTAATTAAACTTTGCAAATAATTACTTCATTACTAATAAAAAAAAATAAAAAACTATACATTTCAATAACATATTTTGAAAATATCTCAAAAATGAAGTATAGGATATAGATTCAAATTTGGTGTGATGCGGAATACATTCAAAATAAATCTGATCTGCACATTTTGTTTTCAAAATACTTTTTTGTTGATTTAATTTATGATATATAGAGTATAATAAGTAATTATTGCTTAAACTTGTTATGATTATGTTTCATATCAATAGTTCAAAATTAATGAAGGCATTGACATATATTTCATGATTGATTTCATTTGCAGTATGCAGAGGAAAATGCAAGACCACTACAACCACTCCACGATCGAGAGATCTACCTCTACAAGCGCCCATAGTTTCTAATAGAGAGCATAAATACAAGTAATTGATGAAGACAAAGAGTTATTAATACACATTATTGTCAACATCCACCTTTCATTTGTTATTATTACTTTTTATTTTTATATTTCTAGCTGGAGGGCATGAATACATAGAACAAGACTAGAATGGACTTTTTTTGTTGTGAACTCTGTCCATGTATTATTATCATTCTTTCTCATTTTAATGAAAACATTTTGGCGCTTTATTTAGCCGTGTTATCCAACTTGTGCTATTAACCATATTTACATTATAGATTTAGTGGGCATTAACAAAAATTTAAGTTTAGATATGCCTTTGCATAACAAATCGAGTTTCAATAAGCCAAATCCTATTGTAATTTTTTGCTCATACTGATAAAAGTCACTAATTCGGCCCCCTATTTTGTGGCACTTACTAGTTAGTTTTTCGAAAAATGTTTGTTTGGCAACGTTTTAATTGATTAAAGCTCTAGTCTTGTAACTAAAGAGATATAATAAAAAGAATTTCTTTTTTATTTTTTATTTTATTTTATTTTATTTTATTTTTTTGTTTTTTTTGTGAAGAAGGCAATTCCCAGTTTAACATTAGCATTGCTTGTTCTAAAATATTAAATAAGAAAAGAAAAAAAAAAGTATTAAACTCAAGCCGAGATCAAACATTTATTTTTAAAGAAATGAGTCTGGTTGAATTTTTGGACTAGGAACTAATTGCCCTACAGTTATCTTAAAAATGTAGGGACCAATTGAGATAAAGATTACAGCTCTTCTAATGGCCGAGAAATGAAGGGCATGAGAGAGCATATGTGACCATCTTCTAATCACTTCAAAAATACTCGATTTTGTAATGAGGATTTTTTTTTTTTAAGATCCTTGATATTAAGATTTTATAAGATAAATGATATACAATATTTTCATAGTAGTTAAGGTTTCTTAATATTTTCATAAAAAAAATTCGACTCAGAGAAATTTTGCAATTTGCAAGCCAACTTGCAAGCAAGTTGCCATGGCCAAGTTACCAAATTGTTCCCAAAACTATGTATAAATAGGGATTCAAGAAGGGAACAAGTCATCAAGTGAGTGAGAAGCAAGAACAAGCAAGTGAAGAGCATAAAGCCTTTACCAAGAGTGTTAGAAAGAGAGTGAGTTTAGTGAAAATTTCGCTACCATAGACTTAGGCGATATGCCGAACCACATAAATCTTTGTGTGTTCTTTGTTTGGTTTCTTGTTTGTGTTTGTTCGTGGGCCTTGGGCACAACAAATTGATATCAAAGCACCCAGGTTGCGAAAAAATTGCTCCAAAGCTCTATTTTTTGAATCTGCCATGAAACCAACTTTGTCCGACCAAACTTTTGAATACACCAATTAACAAACTCAATGCACAGTTAGTAGAAGAGTTTGAAATGAAGGATCTTGGAGAGGGAAAGAAAATTCTTGGTATGGAGATCAAGAGAGATAGGAAAAAGGGTATAGTTTGTCTGACACAAAATCAGTATTTAAAAAAGGTGCTAGACAAATTTGGTATAAATAGGAAAACAAAAGTTGTGAGTACACCATTGGCCCATTATTTCAATCTTCATGTTTCGATGTCTCAGAGCACAGAAAAAGAGCTCAAGCATATGGCTCAGATTCTATATATCAATGTAGTTTGTGCATTGATGTATACTATGGTGTGTACAAGGCTTGAAATCTCACATGCTGTTAGTATGGTGAATAGGTATATGCATGATCTACGAAAAGGTCACTGGCACGCAATGAAATCGACCCTAAGGTATATACATGGCACAATTGATTTGGGATTGAAGTTCTAGAGAGATAGCAGACCTGGACAAAATCTGATTGGATATGTGGACTCAGATTATGCTAGTGTCTTGGACAAATGTTGGTCGACAGCAAGGTATTTGTTTACCTTGCTAAAGGACCTGTAAGTTAGAGGTGAACGCTTCAGTCAACAATGACTTTGTTTACTATAGATGCAGGGTACATGACAGTAACAGAAACATTCAAAGATGACATTTGGTTACATAGATTGGTTGAGGACTTGGAGATTATACATGAGCAAGTGGAGGTTTATTGTGACAGCTAGAGTGCCATTTGTTTAGCAAAAAACCAAGTCCATCATTCCCGCATCAAGAATATTGATGTCCAGTTCCACTTCGTCCGAGAAATAGTAAATGAAGGAGATGTTTTGCTTCAAAAGATTGGTACTGCAGATAATCCTACAGGCATACTTTATGATGGCGCCCGAGGACAAAGAGAAAACTGTATGTACGACACTGTGGGGTACCTACTACTATCGAATTATGCCGTTTGGGCTGAAGAATGCCAGGCTACCTATCAGAGGGTTGCAACCACTATTTTGCATAATATAATCCACAAAGAGGTCGAGGTGTGCATGGACGACATGATTGTCAAATACAAAGAAAGAGAGGACTACTACACCACCTTGAAAAAATTCTTTCAACGGATCAGAGAATACAAACTGAGGTTGAATCCGCAGAAATGTACTTTCGACGTGATAGCAGGGAAAATGCTGGGCTTTTTTATCACATAGAGAGGCATCGAGGTAGATCCTTCCAAAATCAAGGCCATCCTAGAAATGTCACCACTAAGGACTGAAAAGGAGGTGCGAGACTTTCTGGGAAAAGTGCAATTCATAAGACAGTTTATTTATAAATTAACCTTGACTTGTGAACCACTATTTGGTCTCTTGAAGAAAGGAAAGAAATTTCGATGGGATGATCGATGTCAATTCGCTTTTAAGCAGATTAAGTAGTACCTTCAGAATCTTCCTATGTTGTTGCCGCTAGAGCTAGGGAAACCTTTAATTCTATATCTGTCGGTCACAGGCACAATAATGGGATGCATGCTTGCTCAGGAATCTGAGGATAGGGTGGAGAAAGCCATCTACTATTTGAGCAAGAAAATGTTGGATTATGAGACCCACTACACTCTTGTCACGACCCGAACCCGCCCCCGTGGGTTAAGGACGTAACCGGCCAGTAATCATGAGATTACCTACGGCCTCAAACTGTTCTAAATGAGGTGAGGTTGAGAGAGAGAAATAGCATTGCAATTTCTCTATTCAGTTTAGTGAAAATTCTGCTGCTTATGGACATAGGCGATCTAACAAACCACGTAAATCTCTGTGTGTTCTTATTTGGTTTCTTGTTTGTGTGTTTATTTTTAGGCCTTGGGCACAATAAGAACAGCGAAGGCGATAAACGGTAAAGGAAGAACTGAAATGCCATTGAGAGATCTCTGTACTTAGACTATTGAAATCAAGATTCTTGGGTTTGAAATCTTCTTCGACCTATAGCTACAAGATAGTGATGTCGAGAAAAATGTTGAGCCAAGTGCTGATGCTAAATAGAGCATGAAAAGTGACTCGAACAACAGCGAGCTTGGAGTAAGGGGAGCACTGGCATGTCTCCTCATAGATCCTTCGGTTGACTCAGAGAACTTGGGAGATAACCTTACCATCTCCATGATCGGGGACTAACCGGGTGTGAACTCATCCAGCAGCATTTTGGATGTATCTAAAGCACCATCTCTTCTCTAGCAACTGGAAGAGGGCTACCTGTCTAGTTCTGAGTCGGGTGATAGGCTAGAATCTGATTCTGACTCTGATTCCACAGAGTCTGTGGAGTCAGAATCAGATTTTGGTTCTTCTGAGTCCGAGTTTGGTATTCTTGGGGGTGATAACCCGGATGCCAAGGTCTTGTCCAGGTCCTCTTTTTCTTTTGCTTTTGAGTCGGTTGTAATCGAAGAGCTGGACCTTATGAATGAGAATGTCGCTACTGATTCTGAGTATTTTTCTATGTTGCTTGTTTATTACATTGACCAAGATTTTCAGAATTTTAATGAAAACGAAGATGAAGGAATTCCTTTGGTTTTGAAAAACTTGATTAATCGAAAGGAGGAGAGGTTTGTGAAACCCTGTGCTGATGAAATCATTGCTATTAACGTGGGTACTGAGAAGGATCCGTGTCTGGTCCAGATCGGGTCCATGTTGTCTTCGAAGGAGCGCGAGTGCCTAGTCATTTTATTAAAAGATTTCAAAGATGTTTTCGCGTGGTCCTACAAAGACATGCCTGGAATCGATCCTGAGATTATACATCATCGGATCCCTCTTGACCTCGAGGCTTGACCCATCAAGCAAAAGTTACAAAGAATCCATCCGGATTGGGCATTGAAAATCAAAGAAGAGGTCACTAAGCAAATCGAGGTAGGTTTCTTGTTAGTATCTGAATAACCAACTTGGTTGGCCAACATCATCCCAGTGCCGAAAAAGGATGATAGAATTCGGGTGTGTGTGGACTTTCGAGATTTGAACAGAGTTAGTCCGAAAGACGACTTTCCCTTGCCGCACATTGATGAATTAATGGATTTCACTACGGGTCATGCATTGTTACCCTTCATGGATGGATTTTTCGGGTATAACTAGATTATGATGGCGCCCGAGGACAAAGAGAAAACTGTATTTACGACACTGTGGGGTACCTACTACTATCGAATTATGCCGTTTGGGCTGAAGAATGCCAGGCTACCTATCAGAGGGCTGCAACCACTATTTTGCATAATATAATCCACAAAGAGGTCGAGGTGTACATGGACGACATGATTGTCAAATACAAAGAAAGAGAGGACCACTACACCACCTTGAAAAAATTCTTTCAACGGATCAAAGAATATAAACTGAGGTTGAATCCGCAGAAATGTACTTTCGACGTGATAGCAGGGAAAATTCTGGGCTTTTTGATCACACAGAGAGGCATCGAGATAGATCCTTCCAAAATCAAGGCCATCCTAGAAATATCACCACTAAGGACTGAAAAGGAGGTGCGAGGCTTTCTTGGAAAAGTGCAATTCATAAGACAGTTTATTTATAAATTAACCTTGACTTGTGAACTATTATTTGGTCTCTTGAAGAAAGGAAAGAAATTTCGATGGGATAATCGATGTCAATTCGCTTTTAAGAAGATTAAGTAGTACCTTCAGAATCTTCCTATGTTGTTGCCGCTAGAGCTGGGGAAACCTTTAATTCTATATCTGTCGGTCACAGACACAATAATGGGATGCATGCTTGCTCAGGAATCTGAGGATAGGGTGGAGAAAGCCATCTACTATTTGAGCAAGAAAATGTTGGATTATGAGACCCACTACACTCTGTTGGAGAAAGGTTGCCTAACCTTGGTATGGGCTACCAAGAAGTTGAGGCACTACTTGTTAGCTTACTTTG